AGGGGGGGGAGAACCAGTTTAAAACTTATTTGCACGGGGGTGGAGGTGGTTTGTCCAACTGTGCCGCTCTGTCCCTGGTCTGCAGCTGGTCTTGTCAGTCTGCTCGCCGCGTTGATGTTGCGTTTTCTCCCCAAAGATGGCACTGGATGTCTTTCGCATTTTCTTGGGATATTATTTTTCATCCCCTGGGGAGCCCAGCTCCTGGTTGGTACAGCTGTAAATCTTTCCCTTTTCACATTCATTCACCCTTGGTCTGTTGTGGATTTGCATTCAGCGCTTGTGAAGAAGGCAGCTCGTTATGTGGGGTGAATTAGAATTGAACGTGTTTGGTTTTTTGTTTTCTTCTTTTTTTTTTTTTTTTTTCCCTCTTAATCTGGCGACCCTAAAGCCCACACAGGTGACGTTAAATGTAAAATGAAATCTTTGACTGCTGGATCAGCACAAAGACTTTGTGCCCTGGCAGAAGCTGTCGCTTACCATTTATTAGCGGTCGGTGATAAAGATGCTAACTACCTGTTAGAAGAAACCTTTCCTGCTCTTGTCCATCCCTGTGCTTCCGCGCCACCCTGCCTTTTTCTCTCGAGTGGAGAACAGCTCCGTGCCAGTCCAGGACGGACTCTTTCTCATGATCGTTGGACAAGTTTTGGAAATGCTTGATAGCACTCGCCTTCCTCCTCTTTCAGGTGAACATGTGTGACATCTCCAGGGGAGTGAAAAGGGCATTTTCCTCCGGCTGTCAGTAAAGGAAAGCAGTTTATTTTCTTGGTTCTCTGTATAAATGTGGCATTTAGATACTCGTCTAAATTTTTATATAGGTACAGAACTGTCACTGCGGTTTTCTCAATCAGCGTTGCAATCTTCATGTCGGTAGCTAGGCAGAATGAAAAGGAATGAAAATGAGTAACATTTATTTAAAAGGTGAACTAGAAGATGTTGTATTTATTTGAGAAGCTTTTAATCTGTTTGTCTTGTGAAAATGGATTTGTTTTAGATACTCGTCTAAATTTTTATATAGGTACAGAACTGTCACTGCGGTTTTCTCAATCAGCGTTGCAATCTTCATGTCGGTAGCTAGGCAGAATGAAAAGGAATGAAAATGAGTAACATTTATTTAAAAGGTGAACTAGAAGATGTTGTATTTATTTGAGAAGCTTTTAATCTGTTTGTCTTGTGAAAATGGATTTGTTCTTATTGTGTTTTTTGAGGCGGTGGATTGGTGTTTTTTTGTGTGTGTTGGGTTTTTTTTGTCATCTGCTCTTAACATTCTTACGAATCCTTAGGTACTTTTTATCTGACACCTAGTTCATCTTAGCCTTCTCTACCCCTTTTTCTTTCACACCCTGGCCTGTGGTCAGAAAGTACTTGAGAACGGGCTGTTTGCACCCCTGCTTTAATTTTCTAAGGAGCATATTAGATTTGTACGCTGAGTTACTTTCTTACAGAAGATGTCTTGGCCACTTTGACAGTACTTAGTTCGAGACTCTGTAATGCACATACGTCACTTTAAAAAGGAGACTTTCCAAATGTACTAGGAAGCAAATCTGTTGAGCTTTCTGATGCTGCACGTTCAGACAGAAGAGTGAGAATTGTGCACGTTCTTTATTCTGCCGTACAGAACATGAACCTGGTATGTTCTTGCCTGTTTCCAACTTCGTTTTGGGGGCATTCAGAATTGCTATTGCTAGTTAGACAGACGCTGAGTTCAGTAGCAAGTGAGAAGCAGTTTCCGTGGCTCGCCAGGTAAGCATACAGGTTAATACTGGAATCTTTTTTTTTTTTTTTTTTTTAATTTTTTTTTAAATGGCACAGGGTCTCCTTTGCATTCCTCATCTGTGATGCCATACCCAGACTCTCCCCAGTACTGGACTTTGGCCAGATCCTCAGGGTTGTTGTAATCCCCTGCTGAAAGAGATCAGTACCAGGTGGCTAGGGCAATTTGTGGTTTGCCGTATCATTCCTGTTTTCAAGAAGTATCCCGTTCTGTATTCCTCTTTTGCCCTTGATCTCGCGTAAGTGTGTATATATGTACACACGCAATGTTTATTTATACCTTCTGTCTTCTTATTATTTTAGGATTTCAGATGCATGCCAGGTTCCCACTGAATGCCAGAAGTAGAGATCACTACAGATGGAGCCCCAAAGTCAACATGGCAGTGGTGGTTCACTAGTGGTGATTCAGCAGCCCTCCTTGGACAGCCGGCAACGGTTGGACTATGAAAGGGAGAGCCAGGCAACAACGATCTTGTCACTGGACCAGATCAAGGCGATCAGGGGCAGCAACGAATACACCGAAGGTCCATCTGTGGTGAAAAAACCTGGGCCACAGACAGCGCCAAGGCAAGAGAAGCATGAAAGGACTCACGAAATGATACCAATTAATGTGAATAATAATTACGAACACGGACCCAGTCACGTGGGGCACGTGGCACATCAGCATAATGCGAGGGCTCCCGTCTTGAGCAGGTCAACCAGCACGGGGAGCGCAGCCAGCTCTGGGAGCAACAGCAGTGCTTCCTCAGAGCAAGGGCTGCTGGGACGGTCACCTCCATCCAGGCCGGGCTCAGGCCACAGATCCGATCGGACAATCCGGATGCAGCCCAAGCAGTCGTCTCTGATTGTAGATGATCTGAAGAGTCCTTTGAAAGAGGACTTGACGCAGCACAAGTTTATCTGCGAACAGTGTGGGAAGTGCAAGTGCGGTGAGTGCACGGCCCCGAAGGCCCTCCCTTCTTGCTTGGCCTGCAACCGGCAGTGCTTGTGCTCTGCAGAGAGCATGGCGGAGTACAGCACCCGCATGTGTTTGGTCAAAGGGATCTTCT